TTATTAATGATCGCAAAATAAATTTCAAGCCTGGAAACCTGATATTGTAACGGACTGAATGTTATGTCTTTAACTGGTCGGCTTGTGGAGCGCAGGCGGTTGCCATGGCAACGGGTGTGTTTAAATGACAAAGTGAGATGGAGAATAAAAAGGTGTGAGTGGTTTAGAGTTGATCACCTGTTCGGGTTGTTTTACCTTTGTTTACCTTTGCCTTGGCGCATCACAGCCACTGTAGTTCCTGAACGTTCAATAAACGACAAACTTGGACTAATTACCACGTCATTCACAACAAATATCAAACACGGTAAATATGTTTCATTAAGTATTTAACAAACAAATGGCTTCTACCGCGATAATTATGTGAAATTAAATTCACATAATTATCGTGTAATTATCACATAATTATAACTAATGTGTCTGCTATTTATCCTGTTGTTCCTCCAGGCTGGGAAAACCAGGCATTCTTCTGTTGGTTCATGTGCTTCGTCCTACATCCAAAGGCCACAAGAAGAATTAAAAACGGCTCATGTCAAACTGTGGACCACAGTTTGTCGGATATGTGCAGGTATGTGGTTATTCTAATGATCCTACTTCTTTGTAGAAGCACTTTCTCTTTGGCTTTGCTTGCTATCTGAATGTAGCTGTGCTTCTAAATATATTTAATAAATTTTACTATTCGTCTTTTTATCATGATGCAAGCCAGTGTTGAAGCCTTCGTCATTGCCGTGCAACCAGGACAGCCCTTCCTCCTGCATGTTGGTGAAAACAAGAGCAGCACCAAAGACACTGCACCATCAGTGATCACAGGATCATCCAAGGTAGCTTCAGATGAACTTTCAAAGCACACTTCACCTTCAGTGCAAAGTACCATGGATTAATTTACAGTTTTCAACATTGATGTGACTTGCACAACAATCGAGGAGTTTAAGATCCTTGCTTTTACTTTACCTGGCAGAGTGGACACTCTTTATTGTTGTTGGAGCTATTTATTCTTTATTTTCTTTATCCATTTGAATTTTGTTAGTTTATTCTTAAATGTATATTTTTTGTATTATTTACAGAACTTATTTGTAGGTTAATAATTGTTGATTTTATTTATCTTTTGTTTTATTATTTTTCTTTATTTTTTTCTAAGCAAACAGGAAGTGAGGTGGGTTGGTCCACTTTCTAAGTGTAGGGGCCTGGTAAAGGACCAGCAGGCATTTGGGTTATGGGCCTACGGTTTTTACCAGTGCAAGAGAGGTAGCAGAGAAAACAAAAGGAAGTTTGGACTTTGTAATTGTTTTTTGCAAAGATGTGAAAATAAATCATGAAGAACAATTTACAAGTTTGGATACTGAACCTTCTTTTGCTTGCGTTGAAGAGAGAAACTTGACCCCAGTGCCTCAGTGGCTTAATGGAACTTTTGTTGGCTGTTTGGTTTGACAAACAATCGCCACTACAATTATGCTGATCATTTAAATGCATACTGTATCAATAAGAGGATTTGTTTTATCTTCTTCCAATTAAGGACTTGGTTTATTACAGTCCCTGTGGCAAGCAGTTTTCTGCATGGTCAGTATTGAAGGCCATATTGTCTATGAGAGGGTCCAGCCAACATTCCAGACAGGACAGTGTTGTCCATCTTCTTCATCTTCAGCCTCCAATATCAACATGAGGCAGCCAAGACTTTGGAGTTCATTCAACGGTAAATCCATTCCTATAATACGTTTTTTACAATGACATGGTTTTAAAGCAAGTTATGATTAACATTTGACAAAGGTGGTGATGTTTTCTCTTTACGTAATTAAAAACAGCTTTATTTATATATTGTACCAGCTGTATTCAAAATGCCACACTATTTATATTCTCAGGAATTTTCCCATTTTTGATTTAGTTTTTTAGTCGCTTCATTGGGATTAACCCAGAAAGGGGCACAAAAGCCGGTCATGGGAAGATGGTATCCATTGGTCTTTTGAATGAAAGACCATTCAAAAGAAAAAGTGACGGTCAATGCTCATCAAAAACCTGATGGACTTTGAGTGGCATCTCATTCAGGTTAGTTGTTGTCCTTTTCTTTTATTTGAAATATTTCTGTTTCCATATTATTTAGGATCTAAATTATATTGTCTTTTCTTTTTCCATGTTGGACAGTGCCTTCATCTGCGTCTAATAAAGTAAGTGCCACTTGGACTCTTGAAAACCATTAATAGTTCATATTTTAAAACCCTGTTAGAATTCCACATTATTTCAGCCATGTTGAATTTTAGATTTTGGAAGTCATTTTTCTTTGATTTGTTTAGTGATACCCAAAGCATGGATATTTCTTTAAGAACTGTGTTTTTATGTTCATAAGATTGTAGAAATTAATGAGTCAAACCCAGTTTATGTCGCTGTAAACTGACAGTCTTCAATTTTTATTCCAGTGTTAGTGAAACTATATATTGACTTTGAAGGCCTTTTACCAGTTCTCTGAGGAATGGTTTTGTGTTATTTGTTTTGAATGTTTGAATAAACTGGAAATATATGTGGTTTGAGGCATAGTGGTGCCTTTAAATAAAAATTCTGTTCTGAAGGTTACTTATCGCATCCTCTTTTGTGTTATGTGAAGTTCTGATTATGCAGATTATGCATTTTAGAACCGCACCAATTGTAGCACTTCTAAGAAGCCTACACTGGGTCAGGTATTAATGTTCTATCGTAAAACTAAGACTGTACTTTAAAAAGTATCATTACAGTTTTCTTGGCAGTAGCTTATTCATAAAGTGAGTGCAGTAGTAAAACTAAATTTACTTTAAAAATACTGGAACTCTACTATTTGAAGGTATATTTACTTTAACCACTGTATTTTACGGTGGCCAACAGGTACAAACACCCAGCAAAGACGAGAAAAGCACATGCAACAAAATAGAGATGCAAACAAAAAATGCTGAAAAGAGAAGTGATCCAGACCACTAGGGGGAGTCGAACAAAGAACAGCTTGTGTCCGAAGTCAGGTTTTGCATCTTTGGGTCCTCGACGACCGGAAGACAGAAGCTGTAGCTTTCAGCTAGCTGTTTAGCCTCTACCTTGGCGTTATGTTGCTTAGCAACTGTGACAACGTGAATCACGTAGCGGCGAAGAAAAAAAACGGACTCGAAATATTTTTTTTCTCCTGATTTCTCTATTACTTTTCACTTTTTGTAATAAAGGCTGTTGCATATTTAAAAAAAATATGTTAGTCTGATTCTAAAATGTTCAAACACGTATAGCACATTTACACAAGGAATGTAAGCAAAGTCACCCTTTTCAAATACTCTCCAGATCTCGGGTAAGACAATACAGTTTAATCAAATTATTGTATTTTTAGGCTTAAGTTTAAAAAGTCAAACCGATTTGCTCAGGAATAAATGAAATATTTTAGTGAACCAAAATATTACAACTAGATGTTACCTGATTTAATGGACTCTTTGCACCTAGGGCGCTGACGTCACATCTCCATGAGCCAATGCGGCTCATTTGTTTCCGCTTTGAGTTACCATGACAGCTAGAAAAGACAAAGTCGTATTTGAGACGCAAATAAAGCAATACTATGAACATCGGTGTCTTCCTAATATAATGGGCTTTAAAGTTTTCATTAATTTCCAGGCAATCCTGAATTAAGAAGTCGGTGGCTTGTAAATATTTGTCGTTACCAGTTAAAGCTAACGCCACACTTCGTCAAAGTTTGCAGCCTTCACTCCGAATCAGCTTCTTTAGCCTAAATGTACCGAGGGGATACGGATGGTAAATAAAGGAGTCTCCCTGAGTTATTTCCATGGAATCACTTCTGTATTCAGCCTGAAAGAGCGAGTGTATGG